AGTTTCTGTTATAAACTTAGCGACCGTGGAGGTGGGTGTGGTTTGCACTCAGCTTCAGGAGAGAGAGAGGTGTGGGGAAGGCTTGTGAGAGCAGCGCCAGGTGAGTGGCTGGTACTCATGGAGGCCGACGCACATGACACAGAAGACACAACCAGAGCAGACCATCGTGGACTTTTGGAAGCAGGCTAAGTTGTGTGATAATAGTATGTGCATCTGTTGTTGGTCTGTGTGCTGAGAGAACCCTCGGTAGTAGCGAGACTTTCTACAGCGACAAAGAGCCGTGCATTCACATGAGCAACCGCTCGTTGTCTTAATGACATCATCATGGGGCGCCCGGTTGGCTCACCTGGTAGAGCTGGCGACCATGTACCGAGTCCTTGCTGCAGCAGCCCAGGGTTCGAATCCGACCTGTGGCCCTTTGCTGCGTGTCATCCCCTCTCTCTGCCCCCCTTTCCTGTCTATCTTCAGCTGTTGCTATCAATTTTTAAAAAAGGCAATAAAAGACCCCAAAAAATAAATAATGACATCATCATCATCAGGGTTATGTCTGATTGGGGTTGAGGCTTAACCTGACTGCACCTTCTGGGAAGTTGTCTTCAGAAACGGTTTGGAAAAGGGTAGGTCTTTCAAAAAATACTTGGCAGGTGACTGGACAAACCATCTGTCTATCACTGTCTATTATAGGACAACTTCAAGCAGCCGCCATTGTTCTTTTGGTCACACAACTGGCATTAATCCATGCAGTAGCTCGCGCTGTAGCTGCCAGTAAGGTTGCTGATTGGTCAGAACCACTGTGGACATCATTTGTAGGACAAAACAATAAGTTAAAAATAACCAATTACATAAATACCTAATACTCACTGTTGGCTGTTGAGATTGTTTATTGCTAAACACTTGTAAAAGTGTAATGCAGCTGTAGAAGTTATTTCTGAGCTAATTAGCCTACATGACCATCTGAATTCAAACAAGGAAGCCAAGAAAGCCGACAGCTGCTTACAGAACTAACCTGCTGAGCTTCCATGTTCATAAATGAGTGGACAAAATAACCTTAACTAATTAGACTCCTTCTGCCTGAAACATAGACGAGTATCAGAAGCAGAATGAGAATTTACTCCACAGCAGTAGCAGAAAGGTCATAACTTGCACCATGTACACTCTAGTGCAGGGTTCTTGAGTGCAGCGCAGCACTTGATCCAGAAAATGAGCTGTAATTTCAGAGAGGATATGATAGTGCTAACAACTAGCCGAGGTCCTGGGACCTCAGAACCACACTAATCTGTTTCCCATCTGTCACCTTTCATCAGCACAGACAGGGGGCAGGGATATCCATCATGTGCTCCAAACTTAACTGCAATGAGTGTAAGCCCTGTCCATTTGGTACTCCCTGCCCTTCTCTAAATGCATGCTGGGATAGGCTGCAGTCCTCTAGAAGACATATCTGTACACAAACAGAAATGTAAAAACAACAATTTGTGGGGGGAATATTTTTTATTTTGGGCGCAGCTTCCTGAGTCTTCTCATCACTGAGGTTGTCAGGTTTGATACCATCGTACCTCAATAAGACCAAAAACTAGTGCTCACTGACTGCTGCAACCAAAGCTACAGCCACAGATGCTGCACAGACAATAGTTTAAGCACATAACTCCCCTGAAAACCACAAACTGTTTTTATATTTTTCTTCCTAATAAAATAGCGTAAGAAATCATGTTTTACTCTTTAGTTCAAGAAACACTTTTACAGACAAAAGTATTGAAACTGAATTATAACCTAAAAATAAGTAACAGTACATAAAAGGGGGTGAAAATGAATAGAGTTGATAATGTTTTTGCAGAGAGCAACAGACACTTTCATTGTATTTTTTATATTTTATAATCTTAAAGGAGCAGTGTGTAAGATTTAGTGGCTACTGGGCTACTGTAGAAATATGGCAGTTCAACATGGCAGACTCTGTAGAAGAGGACCCACTTTTATTCCATTTCTGCCAATAGATTCTCCTAAATGTACACACTGGGCCTTTAATTGAAGTATAATATGGGAGGTAAGTTATCATCCATACTGTTAACCAGAGCAGACATGTAATATCCCTCCTCTTTGCCCTGACCATGGCCTTTGACCCTGGTATTGTAACTTTTTCTGCCACCCACACTGAGGGACAACAGTGTGTTCTGAACATATTGCAGCTATGTTTGTAAAGCAGGCTGAGTTCAGCTCTTACATGCAGTCTTTTCTGTTGCAGTTAACACTCAGAAGAGCTGCGGGAGGAAAGGTTGAAGCGACTGATATTAAAAGAGAAAGTTCATAATCTCTATAATGTCAAGACCTACATTAATTTATATTGTACCTGATGTCTGCAGGATTAACTTATTCTTTCCACCACTAGAGAGCAGTGCACACTACTCTATTGAAAGCAGCACCTAAGACCATTATGTGTCTGTCCATGATATAGACACGTTAAGGCTGCATCTCTTTTTTTCCATAGCACGTTTCAAGCATAAAGTATAATGTAACACAGACACACACACACACACACACACACACACACACACACACACACACACACACCAACACATAGGGCCAGTTTCAGACAGGGGTTAGATTAAGCCAGGAGTAGGTATTCATGTTGTTCAATGTTAAATTAGAACATTTAAGTAGCTTCCATGAGGGGCCCACATGGTGTCGGGATCGATTCCAACCTGCAGGCCCTTTGTCATCCCCCCTCTCTGTCCCTCCTTCCCTGTCTTTATTCACCTGTCCTATCAAAATAAAGGCATAAAAAAATATCTTTAAAAAAATAGTAGAGTTTAGTTAGACAATGGAGTCCTGGAGTTAAGATAAGATTAAAGGAGAACACCTGTGTTAAGCCTCATTACACTGGGTACGGGCACATGCTGTTGGTCTAATGGTGCTCATAAAACCCAGAATGGAATAGATAATCCGGCCCTGGTGTGGATCTGGAGACAAAACAACAGCAGAGGCAAAAAGAATCTGCTCAAAAAGTAGTAAAAGTAGTATTAAGTAAGTGTGGAAAAACACTACTAAAGCAAATAACCGTCCAGTTATTGAAAGTGAACACCACAGTACTGCTGCTGAACAAAAGAAAGAGTGGTTTGGCTGCATGAATTCAGAAAACAAAAAGAATTTCATGAGCACAAAATGATGTGAATTCTATAGGTTGAACTGGATATGAAGTTGGAAGAGAAAGCTATGATTAAAAATGATAAAGTAATGTGACAATTGTGAATAGCAGCCACGGTGAACAATAAAAAATGAATATGTTGTTATTTGTATATTTATGAGTGTGAGAATTTAAATAATCATAAACGACATTTTAAACCAGCCCTGCTTTAGTCTCTCATTTAATTTTGCTGCACACTATTTAAACTTTGTACAGAACAAACATTAAAAGCAAAAACTAGGCCTTAATTCTACTAAATGCATCTTATCTGGTTGAAGTGGTGCAATGTGAAAGCATCTCTGTGTGCAAGTCCCCGTTGGTCATTGCTTAGGCACATCTGCTGATCCTGATCTTCCAATTCCAATTCAAGAGAGAGAGAGAGAGAGAGAGACAGACAGACAGACAGACAGACAGACAGACAGACAGACAGACAGGTGCACAGCAACAGCAGTATTGGCAATGGCAATCTAGCAGGACCATGGCAGGAGGCTCCACCAGGGTCGATAAGAAGTCAAGTGTCCATCAACTCCTCAGCATCAGGTACTGATTGACACTTGATGGATGCATCCATCTATGCAGCCAATCACTGAAGGACCCATACTCACATATGGCTTGCCCAGCAGCATCAGGGAACGCATCAAAAATGTCAAAGTGATCAGAACTTGCAGAAATGTGGGTAAAGGCCTACTTCTTTGAGACAGAAAGGAAAGTCCAGGCTGAATTATCTCCAATGCATTAGTACATACAGAAGTGGTCTCAAAAAGTTATTTCATAAAAGTAGTTGAATGGATTAACAAGTTCTCATCTGGCTGGCCTGGTAGTGCATGTCTGAAATTCTAAACAGCGTATAGACTCCCTCACAAACAGTAAAACAGAAGTTAAACCTGCTTTAGGATTAATTTAGGCTTCAAGTTAGTCCTTGAATTGCCTTGAATCCTCCCAAGGACTTTTTTAAGATTGTGCAAGGCGCTTTGAGTTAAGACAGCTCAAACGGCCATTTTAGTCTGGGACCATATGGTGTATGTTACATACTGAATTAAGGTGGCTGTTGCTACTTTTGTTTGTTAATACTAAAATGTAAATGCCAATCAGCAGCGGTCTTGGTGGTGATCTGCAATCTCATTGCTAAATGTCACTAAATCCTTTTATATCTTTTAATAGTTATTATAGTGATTAAAGTTTAGCATTAATGTGTTTTTGTATAGTTTTATATTTACTTTTTGATTAAAGGATAAATTTGGTGACAGTCTATATTTTTCTTGTAGTCAACAAATCCCAGACTAACCGACAATGAATATTTACAATATCTTCTTCCTCTGTGCCATAGAGCTCCATTATTGTCCAAAAACTATTAAAAACACATCAATGAGCCACACTACACTGGAGGACATGTTCCTTCATTACCATGAACACACACTGTCATTTATTTTGATTCAATCTCACATACACCATCCTGCTGCCACAAATAATCACTAAAGCGCCAAATGTGGATTAATCCAGTGCAGAAAATAGTCCCCAACAAGTCCAAATAGAAATTACTAAAGCCATTTTAAAAATGAAACTATATATTTATGAGGTGTTTTTACATCTTCCCTAGAAACCAATGTGTGTGCTGAGACACGCAGAGTAGGAAAGCAGTACCTTCCCTTACATTCACTTTCAATTTTAGTATAGTAGTATTCTTAGTGTTTGACTCGTCCCTGCCGCTAATCCTGCCATTCTACATATGCTGTGTGTGTGTGTGTGTGTGTGTGTGTGTGTGTGTGTGTGTGTGTGTGTGTGTGTGTGTGTGTGTGTGTGTGTGTGTGGCGCTCATTGTTCTCCTGCTGCTCCTTCTCTCCTCTCTCTCCTGAGCCTGTGTGTTCTTGGCAGACACTTCATGGTTTCCTTCAAGGGGGCTGGGACTGTCTGGCGTCACACTCGCACATGAAATGTCCACTTCCTACTCGCTGTAAAGTAAAAACTGCAACAATCAGCCTGAGGAAGCAGCACAAAGCACAGATATTGCAGCATTTCTCTGCTTCCAGTTGTGAAGGAGGCCGAAGTAAAAGAGGCGGGTCTCGGTTTGCTGGGAGAAAAACCACTGTGAGGAGCCACAAACTGCACCTGGAGAAATGATCCCCTTCAGACTCACACAGGGAGTATGAGCAGATCCTCTTACCTGCAACAAAGGGACAAAGGGAAACTTCAGAAGGAGAATGTGAGTGAGTACTGTGAGGGTTTTACAGCGGTGTCTGAGCTCTGGCTGTGGGAGGAATGCTCTGTATTTCCAGGGCGTGCTGAGGAATGTCAGGCCGATCACACACACAGCTTCATTTACTATTTACATTTTTCCAGGCATTACAGCTAAAGTACTTTAGAGTTCAAATGTATCTGAAAGACTGGAACTTATATTGCAAGTTTTATACATAAAACATATTCACTGAGTTATAAAGCTACACAGGGTTATTTCCTAACATTATTATTTTTATTAACATGTCAGTAATGAAAATCTATCTAATATTTTTTCCCCCATTAAATCTTTATTTGTGCTGGAAAGATTCTATAACAAATTAACTAATATAATACCAGTATAAGTATGCCTATGTATTTATGCTTTATTCCAAGGTATACTGTATAAAGGGATTCCCTGGTTCTAATGAGGGTTTCATTGAGGGCTTATGCAAATTCTTAAAGGTCAAATTAACTAAGACATTGGTTACAAGAGGGTTTGAGGGCTTTCACATCCTAATGAATATATCATAGGGGCTTGAGTTGGTACTAGAGTTCTCTGAGGAGGTTTTATGGGTGACTTAGAGCATTGGTTCCTAACCTGGGGGTCAGGACCCCCACTAGGGATCGCCAAAGCTTCACTGGATTGCAAGACGTTGTTAATTTTAAGGGTAAGAAAACACACAGTAGGTCTAGATCTCAGCATTTCCTTCAGTTATGTGAAAACCAAATTAAATTGTTATTTTTAAGATTTAGATTATTACTTAAGATGTAAACTTTGAAGACGTGAACACCAGCTATATTCCTTTACTCTCTGAACACTGAATTTGTCCTAAAAGAAACCTCATTAGTATGTATGAAAAAAACATAAAACAGACAGATAATTGTATGAAAAGTTATCTAAAAGTATCAGGAAAACTCTATATTCCTCAGAAATCTAACAAATTGCAAATATGTAATGGAAATATCTTGAAGTTCTACAGTACTTACAATACATATATTTTCTGTCTGTGTTTCCATGTAATTTAATTTACTCAAAATAGTTCCAGTTAGGTGATTTATGAAATTCTAATTAAAGGGCATTAACCTTAGCAGCTTTGTAGTAAACAGATCCTTCTGACATGTCCTAACAGGAAAAGCACTAGTATAACTAATAACATTCATATTTTCCATTCACCGTGCCAGGAGGCCTGCCCATGACAAATTGACAAAAAAAAAAAAAAAAAAAGCCAATTTTGCTAAACTGGTCCGTGCACTTTTTTGTCTTACAGGTTTAGCTTCAGGCTCGTCTACATTTTCTCATACAACCTGTTCCAGTTCTGTGGACACACATGGATACTGGCTAATATCATAGCCAGGTTTCTCACCTTTGGCCATGGTAAGCTTATCAGTTTCAGATTCCATCAAATCAGAATAAACAGCCCAGTGGAACCAAAATTATGCAATACTGTGAAATATTTGAAGCTTTTTGGGCTAAATATGAAAGAGCAGCTCTCAAATTTTAATTGGTTTTAACTCAGAATAGCATAAATAGGATAGGTCTCCACCAAATGGTGTATGTTAGTGTGACAAAATCTCTGAATTTGCAGATGCCTTAGCGGACACATTTTACTCTGTTGGCTTTGTGATGAGTCTGTGCCAGCTGCTCTCCATCCTGGAGCTTTTCCACATCGCTGATGGGATTGAGAAAGCCAGACTCCTTCCTCGCTTCATCCAAGTGTGTATCACAGCTCAACCTCTCAATGGAATGTTATCACTGATCACATGGATGCTATAAGACACTCAAATGGAGTTCTTTATCAATGTGAGTTGCTTGGTGGACTGTGAGCTGTCTGTTTTTCAGGTTATGGAGAAGAACCTCCTGCTGATCATGGTCATCATGCTGGAGGAGATCCAGAGTAAACCAGTCGTATGTGTACAGTTCTTCTTGTGGAACATTCTGGACCTCCTACGGTATGCACACCACTTAACGGCATATCTTTTCATTACACTTCATTCTGTTTCCACTTTTTGGGAAAGATAGCAAATTTCAGGTCTCGTCTAGTCACACACAATCTCGAATTTCAGATACAGTACACTAAAATATGTTTCTGAAAAGATGTGAGGTGAGAAACAGGCAACACAGTAACAGAATCTTGATTCATATTTGATCAGCTCAGCCTAGTTTGACAGTTTGATCTGAGTTTGGTGCGTTGAGCTGGACAGACTCACTGAGAATGAGCTGTCAATCACAAGGTAGCCCCGGGCTAAAGCATACCCTGCTTTATGGTCTAATGGGCCTAAATGGGACCATCAGTTACTAAATGAACATCATGCTGTATGGAAGAAGACTGAAACTAGAGATTAAGACCATAAACGCATTAGGAAACTGTTCTCTGAGCTCATAAATCAAGTCAGAAATCAACTCATTTATCCCTAAGACTCAATATCTTTGCTTCTTTTTTGCAGCCCATGGAGCTGCCCCCTGCTGGCCCTTAGAAACAATGCAGGTTTAAGACTTCCAAGTTTGTTTTCACTTCACAGACCTGGAAGCTCTGTCCACTAATTATAAACGATCAATGGTCTAAAGCAAGATATCTTGACAAACATGTAGTTTTTAATTACATTCGCTGTGAAGTATAAATATTTGGTCAAAACTGTATGTTCATGTCTTGTTGAATTTATATAAAGTGGCAGGTATATGGAGAGTTGCAGCAGTATCAGATTATAGTGAGATGGAGTGTTGAGGAATAGTTTTTCTACGACATACAGAGAGAGCTGCCAGGTGTGCTAGTAATGAACAGAGGCTTACAGCTTATGATCCAACTTACTGTCAGTTATTGTGTAATCATATGCCAGTATGCCCTTCACTAACACTTTGATGTGTGCTGTTTAATGACAGGTACCCACATGAGCTGCTGTGTGTTATGGACAAACCCTCCATCACCATGCTGTGGATTCGCTACACACTCTGGATCCCATTATATGTCCTGTCAGTGGCCAATGAAGGTGACTAAATCATTTCGTTGACTTCACTTTTACTATCAAACTGCAGAACCGGCAGCTTTAAAAAAGACAAATGGCCTCAAACTGCATCTGACTACCATAGGATCATGAACTGTCAGTGATACTGTAGCTGCTGTCACACATGCTGAACAATATGAGCTGCTGTAACGTGTCAAACACATAAGGGAAGTAGTGTCAGCATACAGGAAACGAGTTGGCAAAGCAGGGTCAATGATAAAATGTCAGGAAGTGTGTGAGTAAAGTACACTCCAGCCTCTGCTTAAGAGTGTGTTTGACAGAGCACAACACACACACACACACACACACACACACACACACACACACACACACACACACACACACACACACACACACACACACACACACACACACACACACACACTACGGACAGACCTGAAGCTCCAGTGTATCAGTCACACACAGGCAGTCAGATAACTTCTCACCACTGACCAGATCCAGTGTTTCTGCCCTATAAATGTTCTTTATTGGACTCTTTTAGTCAGGTTCTCAATGGGGCAGTATAGAACATCCCATGTTCATTATGAAAACTTTAAAGGAATAATTCTCTCTTGAACGTGCTACATTTCTGCTGCTGCTGACTGTTTCTTTGTGTTCCCCAGGTGTCACTATATACCAGGCCCTGTCTTACGTTGAGCCAACAGCACCAACCTCGGCACACATTCACCTCCCCTTCCTCCCGATGCTCTACCTGCCTGTTCTCGCTCTCGGTAAGATGATTTAGCTGGTGTTCAGCCTGGAAAGAGCGAGTGAGGACAGTTTGAGGAACACATCTGAGAGTATGAAGGCTTTTCAAATGACAAAACTCATCACTGTGGCAATTAGTAGGAGTCCAAGCAGGTGGAACCCTACTGTATATGTAAGGATCATTCTTCTGCTTCTTCTTCTGCCCTAAACCGTAACAGCTACAGTTCCCAGACAAAAATGTGACTGGCTAGATGGTGGTGCTATAACAACAAATTGTATATTTTGGCATACATTTTCAACCTCAGTCTCAGAAAGAAAAATCTTTTATACAGTAATGAAAACATAGCTATGAATATTATATTCCATTTCTACAAAAGATCCTCCTAAATGTTACACACTGGACCTTTAGGCTCAGTTTAACATAAATGCTTCTAAATCAAAATTGGATTAAGCTATTACAATCAAATTCAGTGCATGTATTTAGATGAGCCTGAGCTTCCCTGGGATATTCAGCCACTAGGGGTTGCTACAAATGCTAAAAGTTAATGTGTCATAAGCGGCTACATGGATTACAATGCACTGTATGAATTTTTTGTATGAGTTTTCACAATCTAGGGTCATGACTTATTTGATGACATTTTGTAATGACTGATTGAAGGGCGGGACTACACCAGTACAACAAATCTAAAATTAAAAGATGTCAAGCCTCAACTTGTGAGAAGGTGTAAAGTATGTAAACCATACTTCCTGGTTGCCATCAGTGCTGCTGTCAGCTATATTCTTATGTTATCTTTTGTCATGATGACTGCCAGATAACCTGTAGAGATAATGATCATTTTGCAAACCCCTCTACCCGGAATGCGTGTTTGACCCTGCAGTCGTAATGTTAGGACTTGATTAAGAGCTTACTGAGTGAAGTTAGTGGTAAGTCAGGGTGTAGTCAGACTGGAAGCTTTGTGTGCTCACAGATAAATGAAGGCAGAACTCAGCTGTGTGTTTAGGATAATTGAGCTGTGGTTTGTCAAGCCTCAACATTTATTTATAACCAGTACATTTGGAAGTAAACCTATCTTTTTATACAAAATGACGATAGACAAAACAACAGTTTGCACACCGTTCAGTTTCTCCTGACTTTCTAACACCAGTGTTGTCTATTTAGGGGCCTCTGTAACAGTCTGGCAGCTGCTGAAGGAGAAACAACATCACCTGGAGAAATGGAACAAGAAGATGAAGAGGAAATGACACCTCAAATCAAAAGAGTGAATGTTTTGATGTTCTTTTTTTCTTTTGAAAGGTTTTTGAAAAGATAATGGAGACTTGAAAAGTGATATATATGAGATTTTAAAGATTAATGAAGCAGCAAACAACTATTATGTATATAAAGGTATAGTGGAGTCCTGAGCAGAGAATAATGACACACTCCCTTTACCTGTGTTGTTATCACAGCCTCTCTGTGGTTTGTTTACATAGCATGGCCCTGTCTATGAAGTCTGGTTGGCCATTTGTTTTGATGCAGTTTTCTATTGCAACATCTAGTAGCAGTTTTGTATATATAACCTTTAACGAGCTGAGTTTGATGTCATCAATAAAATCTATATTTAAGAACAGATCTTGAACTCAAGAGCCACAAAATGTAATCCAACACCATTAAATGTTTCCTGTATTTGATGAACTTTTAATGGGCATATATTGTTCTGACATAGCACATTCCTCTTGATGTTGCCGTTCTCATATGTGGTTGAAGCAGAGCAACAATGGCAGTGCAGTGGCTCCTCAGGGCTACCAGCCGTATGCTCTGGTCCATACGGCTTTCTTCTTGAACTCAGCAGAGGACCTCAGGGCTAACAGGGTGGCTGAAACACACAAGGACCATCAGATAAACCAATCTGAACATTTCCAGTTTATAATCAAACAAGGACATTTTTTATTTCTGCCAAGAATGTTGTTTGCTCGTGAGAATGTCAGTGTGATGTCAGTAAGAGGAAAGACAGGCTGTGTGTTTCACGTTGCGCCTGTGTGTGTTCAACTAGCTACAGCCAATACTGATGTTTATGTAGTCTTACTATGCTGCCATAACAATACCAACATCAGTGTTACCCCCCTGTGAAAATCTTCAAACATGTTTGCATTCAGTTTCTCACAAAAACCCACTGTGTATGTTGGATGCCTAACAAACACACTGGATGCATGTCCCTCCTCGTAAAACATTTACACAGTGCAATTTTTGTGTATTCTGAAACGTACATGGTCTAACATCATGGATGACTGATGATGAGAACTGACATCCATTCATTCCAACGCAGCACGGCATACTTTTCTATAGTTTCTATCTATCTTAGCTTAAAAAACAGGGTCAAGCAGAAGACCACAGCATCCTGTTTATATCCCCCATAGCATTATGGGAACCACCTAATAGAAGTAAGACAAATAATAATAATGCCAAAATCCATGAATATGAACTTCCATGTAATACATAAATACTGTGACATAAAGTACTGTGTGTTGTATGTGCTGTTGTGTTAGTGTGTTTTACCTTTGGCTGTGCTGATGGTTGTGGCTGACAGACTCTGTTCAGGACCTTCTGTGATGCTGAGAAGCCAGTCTATGAACTGAGACACACACACACACACACACACACACACACACACACACACACACACACACACACACACACACACACACCTCTGTCATCATCTTGTTTGGCTCTAACAAACTGATCTATAGCTTACTCATTGTTTTCCAAATTAAATACACTGTATCAAACACACTGACCTTGTGTGTCTGGCTGCTCCAGGGCTCTTTGTCCAGAAGCAGAGCCAGGCTGTGGGAGATTCCCAGCAGGCACTGTGGCAGGATGCAGTCAGTGAGTGACTCCTCACCGCCGTACAGACTGTGTCGTAGAGTTTGGGGCTTGGAGCCGGGTTGCCATGGGAACCACTGGGCCCTAATGCCGAGGAGGAGGGGCATGAAGTGGTCACCCCAGGAAACGACAGCGGCAGCAAAAACCTGGAACAGGAAGTCTGTGGCCTGCAAAAAAAGGGATATCTTAAAGAATATATAAAATACTGTCTGTGGAGTTTGACCAGAATTGTCCAGGACATTTATTACAGATATTTGCAGCAGAGACTATGCAAAAAGACTCCAGGGTGTTTATTGAGTTACACAAATTGAGTTTCAGGTAAAAAACATTGAGTAAACGTTCAGGTACATTTTGGGAACTTATATCGCCAACAGTACGACAGTTCATTTTATGTTATTTTAGTGGACACACCCAACAAGACTGGAAGGAATGACAGTTATTTCTGAGCAGCCCTTGAGTCTCACCCACATGCTGAAACAGCTTTTATCATCTGTGGCATGTGACAACACACGCCTCTAGAAATACTGTGCTGCAGTTTGACAGCGTGGCTCAGAAACATACCAGTTTGGTGTCTCCACATGGGACGGAGGTTGCGCCGTAAGCAACGTTTCGGATGTGTCCCATCAGCTCCAGGAGCCACTCCATTCGTTTTGAAACGCCTATAGCAAAGAACAAACCATCTCATATGGACTCAAAATCGATCATTAAAACAATTTTGTGTATAAGGTGAAAGCCGTTCAATTGAACCTTCCTCCTTTACTGTACATATGTGTAAGCTTGTCAATGGTGAAAAGGCAACCACATATTGAAGATGGTTAAAAGATAAAATATATATAATATAGAGTGTATGGTCATATCTTAAGCTAGCTAATGTTAGCAAAACACTAGCTAATTAGTTATCTAATCTACATTAATTGTTAGTTATCCAATTTGTTTCCATTTTGCTAACATCAGCTATCAGATGTAACTAGCCAGCTAACTACTGATATAGATTAGCTAGCTAGTTAGCTAACATTTTGCTAACATTAGCTAACTGTCACTTTTATCTTCTAACCACTTTCAACCATTTTGAACATAGACTAGTACAGGTAAGGAGAAAGTGGACCAAGGTTCTGTGAGGCTTGCTCAACTCTTACTGGAGCACAGAGCAAAAAGGGGCGGGCCTTAGGAAGGGTCAACTTGTATATAATTAAAGCTAATGTTAAAGGGGAACTTGGCAACTATTTCAATAATATTTCAACTTAATAAACCCGTTTAGAAATCATTTGGATGGTTAAATGGCCTGTTCCAGTGGTAATAGTGACTTTCCCCGCTCCCCCTAGCGTCCCAAGGCGGAAAACCAACCTTGCAACTTTGGGACTACCGTCCCGTTAAGTTGGAAATAGGAAGTATCGTGAGAAGCGAGAACGAGCGAGAAACACAAACTGCTTTACGGCAATTCCACATAAACGCACACGCCCCCCTCAATACCGGTTAGCCACGCCGGCTATAAGAACAAGCAACGATGAATGTATTACCCACCTCGGTAGACATTGCTCCACACCAAAAAGTTGCCCGGCAACAAATGCACATCAGCAGCGGTAGAAAGGGGGAGGAGGGTGCCGCAAGTGAGTTTTTTTTACGACAGTGTTTTGAAATATACGTCCCAGAGCTGTAGGGGGAGCTCATTGAGAAAACATGTGACGACAAAATTAAAAACCAGCGAAGAAATGGCTAGAGTTGCCAAGTTCCCCTTTAAAAAAGAAAATCTATGAAAGAGCTATGGTCATCAAAAGTACTGCAAAAATCTGCACAATGCATGTGAATCTACTTGCAGTAACACTTACTTACATACTGTAAAATGCTGCATGTGAAATTAATGCTTTTTCAAAATAAAAATGATAATAAAAACAATGTATAGAATTTGAATTAGCACAGTATTTATGTACAACTTCAATGATGTCCACCTAGACACTGCACACTTTAATATAAGATGTGCAGCAAGAATGGCTTAACTTGTTTCCTAACCTGTATTGGAGCTGGCGGCCAGGCGACACTGGTAAAAAGTCTGCATGAGGAGCCAGCCAACTCTGCAGCTTGGCCAACCACGAAGCACGCCAGCAATGATGTCATTGAGACCCAGGAGGGGAACTCTGCCTTGGGCGGTCAAATAAGCCAGGATGAAACAGGTCTTCTCCATCTGAGCCTAAACAGTACAGAGTACAGAGCTTTATTTTCTGCTGTTTTCATTTCTAATTTAAATATAAGGAGTACAGTCTAGACCTGCTCTATTTAAAAAGTGTCCTGAGATAACTAATGTTATGAATTGGTGCTATACAAATAAAATTGAATTGAATTGAATTGAATTTACACTTATACAGATTGTCGTAGTATTTTTAACCTCGAGCTTCTTAAAACAGCAGGCGATCTGAGTGAGGGGCTAAAATGCAATTTTACAGGTGTTTCCATGACTGGAAAAGTCTCTAAATATCTAGGTTTGCCTGGTTTTCCAGGATGCATTGGAACCTTGAGCTATTTCAAGATATTTTCAACTCCCCCTAACACCAGAAATGGTCATTTTTAGATTTCTGTTTGTGATTAAAGACAACCTGTTAATCTGCGAACTTTGGACAGAGCTAGCGGGCTAGCTGTTTCCCCTGGTTTCCAGCCTTAATGCTAAGCTAGGCTAACCCACGTCCTGACTCCAGCTCTGTACCTAACACACAGGCATGAGACTGATACCTATATTCTCATTTCACTCTGAAAGACACATGATATTTTCCAACATATGTGGTAGACAACTGCACTGCAGGTGGCAATTTTCATAATTTAGCACAAGCTTTTTTTCTCTATACCATTTTGTACCTGTCACTCATACTGTACCTCTGTGACTTGAGCAATTCGGTCAATCTCTGTATCAGACATCTCAGACAGACATTTGGCGATTCCCACGTACAAATCTACTTCATTATCCTAAACAAAAAAATGTATCATCAGCAGAAGACATTTACTGGAAACAGGTGGACATTCTCAGGTGAATGGTCTGGTGAAATTACTATTACATTTAAAGCAACTCATGTTAATATGCCATTACATGTTGTAACTGTTTTCAGGAGTTGCAGTTTATTTCAAGCACTGTAAACTGCAGTCAGTGTCTGTTTGCCAGAAGCCAAAAGTAGTTGAAATTTCTGTTGACAGAAGTAAACACTAAGTGTCTGAACAAGTGAAGAGTAAAAATGAATACGTTAGTGGTAAAGAGTACTATTTGAAACCCTCATTTCCTTCCAGCATTTGTACCTGGATTTGGTTGGGCAGCAGGGTGAAGATCTTCTCAGTGGTGGAGCGGAGGATGGTCCAGCAGTTGTTGGGGGGGTTTGGGAGGGCCATGGCCTGAGCGAGGCCCTGCAGCAGGGAGTGGCACAAGGACAGACGCTGCGGTCGAAGGTCGTCCTGGAACTGCTGCAGGCCCAGGCTCTCCACATGGACCTGTAGCTTGTCCTCAGCGACGTGCTTCATCCATAAGCCCAAGTTCTCGTACAGGTGAGCCCGAGTCAGGTACTGGAACAGAAACACAGGCTCTCCACTGACACTTTATCACAATCAATGCTGATATTTGGCTCAGTACTTAAGGAACTTACACTGAGACTGTGCACAAGGGGCGGTGACAGCCAGGAGCCCAGAAAGAGAGAGGCACTCTGTGAAGACTGAGCTTGACACACTGCCAGCACCACACACTGGTGCTGAACATCCTCTCCTGACAGAGGGAGAAAAAAATCATGCTGAGCTTCGGCTCTGCTGGCCCCCGGGTACAAAGAGGCAAATGTGTGAGAACTCTTACCGAAGCTGAGCCTCATCAGAGGGGACAGGACAGCACTCCAGTTGATAGGCGGGTACTGGAAACTGGCTCCAACTGATGCCAGCGGGGTCAGAGTGGTCTTAACCAGAGCTGGATGGGCAAACTCTGGACCTGGGTCCAAAGGAGGAAAGGATGTTCCCAAAAGTATTTTATGTTCAAATTTGCGGTATAATGTTGAAAATAAAGTTATAAGTGGTGCTTCTCCTGAGAGGGAGGGCTACATTTGGGATAGAGATGAAACTGATGCAGAGACAATTAATTTAAAAACAAGTCAACTCACCTTTTTTTCCAGCCTCTGTGAGGAAGTCAATGATAGACCTGATGACACTTTTCTCTGAGAGGTAACTGAAATCCTGAGGAACTGAGAAGATGAAACAGATATCACACTGCTACTTATTTTGTTTGCCAGTCTACCGGTAACATGGAGGTTCACACTGGGACCTACCCTACCTGCTGTGTGACTGTGGCTGGTGGACATATGGGCCAAATGCAAATGACCCACCAAACAAGCACTGTTGGACTGCAAACCCAGGGCTCCTGAGAATGTGATGATCTGCAAAAGAGAGCCAAAACACAATGAACAAAAGAGCAAAACATTTGGTGTAAGATTCCAATCTGAGCATTAGCTACCCTGTACCAAAATGTTGTCCTGAGGGTGGCAGTAGAGGACAGCCTGTGGATTCTCTACAACATGTATCATTCATATTCTTATGTTTAATATTGCTATTATTATCATTGTTGATGTTTTTACTGTTTCCATTATTATTATTATTATTATTAATATTATAAATCAAAAATACATAAATTATTAT